TTAGGCTATCTTTGTAGTTTTTCTCTGCAACTTTGGACCATCCCATAGATGTAGTCCGAAAATAAAGATGGTGACAGTGACATTGCATATTCATACAATGTGATTTGGTACTGGAGTGGATGGGAATTAAGTTGTACAGAACAGAGATTTTCAATTACAGCTAAAGAGAGCAACTCTGGCAGAGAGACAGACGGTCGAATATCCTGCAGCGGACAAACTCATGGCAACGTTCTACATGACTGTAGATACTGCCAAGGGAAAAAGCACTTACGGTCTTAAAAACTAGAAGCTACATAGAGCTGGAAAAATAGCTATGCCAGGGATTTACAGATTACATTGGGTATCAATGAGCTGTCGGAACAGTCTGAACATTGGGTAATCGATGAACAGTTCCAATTAGACTTTTAACCAGAGAGTGCAAATAAATTCTGGGGGCAACATTAATAAAGTTAATGACTTCGGGCAAGGGAAGGGCTTTTTTAAAGAAAAGCAAGTGCAGTTCCAGTCTAAATAGGTAGAACGTTAAAAATGTATTTGCAGTTTAGTGAAGATTGCTGTCATAGTTGCAGGCTTCATTAGGCATGACTGTAGTAAGGAAAACAGAGGGTCATAGAAGTAATTGAGTACTGTGAGTGTTCAAAAATTTGAATTTGAGCAATAAAGCAGTGGAAGCCCAAGCAGACAGTTCAACAGAAGAAAATTCAAAAACTTCTTTCCCAATTCATTGAAAAATTGGATCTGATCTGTTGGTTGGGAGATACTGTTGCTCCCTCAATTACTTGCTCCTTATGTTGTTTGACATACAAGTAGTTCTTTGAAGTGTTACCTCATTAAGTTGACACCTCATTAAGTTGACACCTCATTAAGTTGACACCTCATTAAGTTGACACCTCATTAAGTTGACACCTCATTAAGAATACCTGGTGCTGCTTTTGGTATGCCCTTCTGAACTCTTCATTGAAGTAGATTCGATTGCCTGGCTTGATGGTTGTGGTAGACTGGGGAATGTGGCAGGCCATGAGATTGCAGATTGTGTTGGAGTACACTGCTTCCCCTGCTGATTGCCCACAACACCTCATGGATGTCCAGTCTTGAGTTGATAGATCTGTCTGAATTCATCCCATTTATCAAGCTACACCACACAATGGAGGGTATCCTCAATGTGAGGACAGGACTTTATGTCCATAATGGTTCAGCAGTGGTCACTTCTGCCAGTACTGTCTAGGATTGGTGAGGATGAGGTCAAATGTATTTTTTTTCCTCTTGGTTCCCTCTGCCTGCCGCATTCCCAGTTTAGCAGCCATGTCCTGCCGAACTTGATAGCTTAGTCACTAGTGATGCTGCTGAGCCATTCTTGATAATGGACATTGAAATCTCCCACCCAGAGTACATTCTGTGTCCTAGCTACACACAGTGCATCCTCCAAATGGTGTTCAACATGGTGGAGTAGTGATTAATCAGCTAAGGAGGCTACAGTGAGAAATAGTCAGTGGGAGGTTTCTGTGTTAGACCTGATGGTGTGTTAATTTTTGTTTATTATTTTAATCTATTGTTCTAATTGACCTGTTCAATGATGCTATTACACAACTCTGGAGCAGGTGGAATTTGAACCTGGGTCTCCCAGCCCAAGGGTTGGGGAACTACCACTGTGTCACAAGAAAGCCACAATGTTGAGGACTTCCAGGACGACTTGGTCCCAACTGTATGATAGCTGCAGCTATCTCTGCTGGGTCTGGTTGCCTTGTTGGACAGGAAACGCCCGGCAACAGTGAAGCAATAATTTCAGAATAAGGGATCGCACGTTTAAGACATGATGAGGATTTACTTTACTCAAAACATAGTGAACCTGATGAATTTTTCTTCTGCAGATGGTGTCAGGTCTGGGTCGCTAAATATATTCAAGGCTGAAAGACACATTTTTAATCCAGTAGGGATTCCAGGGTTTTGGAAGAAAAGGCAGGAAAGTGGAGTTGTGGATTACCAGATTAACCATGATCTCCTTGAACAGTGGAGCAGGTTTGATGGGCTGAATGACACGTTTGTGTCTGGGACATAACTGTACTCAGAGAATCATACCTTTATGGACTGTATCAGGTTACTGTTTGACACCTCTGTGAGCCAGTGCTCCCATGTTGGCATGAGGCCTCAGATGCTAATAAGGAGTACTTTACTCAGTCAACAGGGCTGTTTGCCAGGATACAGAGACCATTTAGGAGTGAGAATAAAGAAATTTCTTTGCTCAAAGGATGTTTGAGTTAAGTTTGCTACCAAATAACATTGTTAAGCCTAATTGCCAGAATACATAAAAGAAATAATTAGACTTCAGGACATTAAAGGAGTTAAAGAGTGCAGGGACAAAGCTTGTTGTTTCTGGTGCCAAGATTGATACCAGGTTCTCTATTTCAGGAGTGCTGAAGAAGGGTCATTGGACCTGAAATGACAACCCCGTTTACTCTCCACAGATGCTGCCAGATCAGCTGAGTTTTTCCAGCAATTTCTGTTTTTGTCTCCATTTCATTTGTTTCTTTAGACTTTTAGCAGTTTGTTGCAAGTGAGTGGCTTGCTAGGCTGTTTTGGAGAGCAGTTAAAAGTCAACCAGATCACTCTGGGTTTGGTGTCACATGTAGGCTGGACTAGGTAAGGTTGATAGATTTCCTTCCCTGAAGGACATTTGTGAAACAGATGAATTTTTATAACAATTGACAATGGTTTCATTGCCATTGTCAGTCTCTTAATGCATGTTTTTCTTTTGTTAACGAAATCAAATTCCACCATCTGCTGTGGTTCGAAATCATAGAACATAGAACATTACAGCGCAGTACAGGCCCTTCGGCCCTCGATGTTGCGCCGACCTGTGAAACCAATCTGAAGCCCATCTAACCTAAACTATTCCATTATCATCCATATGTTTATCCAGTGACCATTTAAATGCCCTTAAAGTTGGCGAATCTACTACTTTTGCAGGCAGGGCATTCCACGCCGTTACTACTCTCCCAGTAAAGAACCTACCTCTGACATCTGTCCTATATCTATCACCCCTCAATTTAAAGCTATGTCCCCTCGTGCTAGCCATCACCATCTGAGGAAAAAGGCTCCCACTGTCCACCCTATCTCATCCTCTGATCATCTTGTATGTCTCTGTTAAGTCACCTCTTAACCTTCTTCTCTCTAACGAAAACAGCCTCAAGTCCCTCAGCCTTTCCTCATAAGACCTTCCCTAGAGTATTGCCGGGGTCCTTGGATTATAGTCCAGTGTCAATGCTACTACTTAATTGACCTCGGCCAGAGCAGAAAATCCATAAATGAAGCTGTGGTTAGGGCAGTAAGAATTTACTGAGGCTGCAGAAAGTGGGATTCATTTGGGGAAGCTCTTAAGATGAATGGGGTTCTTCACTAAAATTGTAAGACAAAAAGACATAACTACAAGTTGTATGGACAGCATGAATCATCTCCGGAAAACTGTCTAACTCTCAAAAAAAAAGACAAATGACCATTTGGCTGCAAAAGGTTGGAAAATCCTCCAGGAAACATACACAGAAAATAGGAGCTAGAGTAGGTTATTTGTCGGATTAAGCCAAATCTGCCTTCTGAATATGATCCTCCATATCGATGCTTTGTCCCTGTACTCTTTAACTCCTTTAATGTTCTGAAGTCTAATTATTTCTTTTATGTATTCTGGCAGTTGGGCTTAACAATGTTATTTGGTAGCAAACTTAACTCAAACGTCCTTTGAGCAAAGAAATTTCTTTATTCTAACTCCTAGATGGTCTCTGTATCTTGAGACCAAGGCACGTTGTTGTAGGATTCACCGCCTGGACTCGGAAAGGATCATTCCTGCATCTAGTCTGACCAACCCTGTCAGAGTTTTATACATTTCAACAAAATGCCCTCTCGTTCTTCTAAACTTCAGTGAATGCAGACCTGGTCAACCAAATCTTTCCTCCTATTACAGACCTAATACTGCAGGAATCAGAGCCTTCACTTCAATCCAGTGGCAAGTGTAGCCTCCTTTTGGGGAAGGAGAACCAAATTGTATGCAAAACTACAGATGTGATATCGCCGTGGCCCTGTACAGCTGCAGTACGATATTGTTGCTCCTTTTGCAATAAAGGTCAACATACCATTTATGATTCAAACTGCTTCCTGCACCTGCATACTAGCTTTCAGTGAGTGACTGGTGTACAGAGACATGCAGATCCATTTGTGCATCAACATTTCCCATTCCATCATCATTTAAATAATATTCCTCTCTTTTTTTCTACTGACGTAGATAACTTGGCACTTATTCACATTATGCTGCATCTGCTAAGTTTGTAAAACATGATTTCTCTTTCATAAATCTGTTGTCTTTGTCCAATCTTGTTAATGTTTTCCAAATCCACTATCTATCCTTGATAATCCATTCTAGAAATTCATCTCCATAGTATTATTGCCGAATGTGTTTTGCCAAGTCTACATGTAAGTTCAAGTAAGCTGACAATTACTGTCGTACCCTTGTTGGGTTTCCCTAATTATCTGTTTAATGTGGTTTTTTTTTTTTTTGGAGACTTATACAATTGTCACTTTTATGTTTTCCACCCCTTGTTGCTTCTTAGCTTTACTGAAACTGGTTTTATACCTAGATACTTGAGCCAGTACCATTCTTCATTATTGCACTGATTTCATCCAGTTCTAACCACCAACCCAACTGCTTAGGGAGCAAATTGCTTTAGAATCCCAGCTCAAGGAAATGTTAGTTTTTGAACAGTTGTTGAACAATTGTTTACGAGACAACTCAAAATATTTCAATGGGTTTCCTGGATTTATGGCAAAATCAAAAAGAAGAAATGTCTTGCAATTAACAATGATGGCATAAGATAATTGTCTCTCTGTCTCATTTGGTTTAAATGTTCAGGTGGCAACCATCCTGGTAAACATGTAATTACAACAGATTTGATCTTGTCATCTTATCTCCTGACATCAAATTTGAGAGAAAAATTTTTGTTGTTTTGTTTTTCAAGGGAGAATTTGCTGCACAAGTGACAGATCATGCTAAGTCAGTATGGACAGGTTGGGCTGAAGGGCCTGTTTGTGCTGTATGACTGACTCTAAGGAAGCAGCACTCCTCCAGGTAGCATGACTGTTGAGTTCAATAAAGCAACCACTGGGCAAATGCAAGAATCCAACCTAATTAACAAGTTGGAATCTCAGAGTCTACATACTTCAGCACAGATTGTCCAATAAATTGAGAATAAATATAGGTGTGCTCTGATTGAGATGGTTGCATAAGAATGCATGGAAGCCACAGATGACTAATGTCCATGTATTCCGGTCATGATCAAGAAGAAACTACGTGGCACTGAGATCAAGGATGCTATCTGAAAGAAAATGACTGATATGGAAATTCTGAAAATTCAATAAAGAAAATACTACTTTATCAGGGTAGCCATCTTCTATGTTGAGAATTCATGAGATTAAATGTGTTCCATATTATGTTCGGAGACAGTTTTGTGTTTCAGTAATAGAGTTCCACTGTGTTGGAAATTTGGGGGATTCAGGGTCCTCCAGATGAGCTAATGAACCAATTGCTTGGGTTCAGCAAGAATGATCTCTGAAGGACATCCAAGAAGCAAAAAGAAAAAATACTTTGCAGATCTCATGAAATCTAGAACAAAATCAAGGTCAACAGTCCTCAAGCTAAAGATCTACCAATCTTTCAAGCCCAAAGAGAATTCCTTTTTCTGGAAGAATTATGAAACTTCAAGACCACCTTCAAGTCCATTCTTTGAGGATTTGTTAGACTTTACAAATGGCAATTTAAATATTTGTTGTGAACGTTTTCTCTTGAAGGGATGACTAATGCTGTTTAAATATTATAAATTTTCATCATTGCTGTATTTTAATGTGGAAATTGTTAGTTAAACTCATTCAAGCCTATCCATAAATATATTATTTGAAATTAATTTACCTCAGTATTTTTTTTCACAACTGTATCAGCTGCTCCTTTAAATTCCTTTTTGGATATACAGGAAATCTTGGTTTGAAATATGAGGCCTCAAATTCAAAATCAGCTATAGCACTAGTTGCATAATGAAGGGTATTGTAGACAATATTCTGTACCTTGCCACTATATGTTAATTGGATCAATCTCTCCCAGTACATAATTATTTTCTTAGCTCATCTGGACTCTTGTAGTAGGTAATTGAGTTAGCGCAAAATGTTGATCCTTGTTGAGTAGAAGAACTACAAAAAAGTTTAACCGCCTTCGCCTAACTTGATCATCTTTCAGCTCCTGGGTGTTTGCACTACAGCCCATGTAGCCTGCAATCTGACTGTGAAGCCTAATTGTGCTTGTCTTTTACTTTACTGGTTTGTAGTTATTTGATGTCTCATTGTGTAAGTCGTGAACTGAAATGCTGAACTCTTTATCAACAGCCTGATGCTTTCAAATTAATTAGATCATTGCGCAACATTAATATTAAAAATCAACCTATGATAATCACCCATGTATTCCCATTAGGTCTAGTATTGATATGCTTAATAGGCTCAGATGTTTACAGCATTGAAAAAGGCTGTTCAGCTATCACATCTGCATGATCAACAAAGATCTGACCACATTAATCTCATTTGCCAGCTCTTGACACATTGCCCTAGAGGCTATGGCATCGCACATGGATATCTAAATACTGCTTACATGTTTTGAGAATTTGTGACAACTATGCGTTCAGACATTTGCCACCCTCTGGGTGACAAATATTCTCCTAAACTCCCCTTTTAGCCTTGCCCATTTATCTTAAATCTATGCCCCTGATTGTTGACCCTTCTCTTAATATAGAAAGCACCTTCCTATCCAC